AATAGAATCTGAAACATGCTAACTCAGAGACATCTTAAATTTGACCTGAGTTAAACATTACATTAAAAGCACAGATTACTCAAGATGTCTCCCCTTGGAAATTTATGAACAATCCATCACTTGTGGTGCTCAGATGTCTTCATCTAGAATGCAGTGTGATCAATCATGGGACATAAAGAGATCTTCATAAGTGGTCTCGGGGCAAATTACAATACAGAGGACTACAACACTTCCGTATCGTAAAACTCTTTATCAACTGTTCTTTTCCCCCCTTTTTATAGGCTTATGTGTTAACAGCTCAGTTGTTCAGCGTCCTAGAGTTCATGTGTCACAGCAGTTGTCGGTGATTTCAATTGCTCAGTTTATTTGGGGAAGAAAGGTCTTCATTTGTGTCTTTTGCTCCGCTTGTTACAGAGTGCAATAAAAGCGTGCACGCACTGTAAACGCCTCACAGACGAATCAGAGGAGCCATCTGCAAACGCTTCGAACTCCACAGCGACAGACGGCCACCAAGTGACAGAATGGGACCAGTACGAGGACAGTGGTGGTTCAAAAAGGGCAGAGCAGAGAAGAGATGAGCAGGAAAAGAAGTCCCTTAATGCCCAGATCAGGGAGCTGGAAAAGGAGTTAGCCCAGACCAAACTCCAGATGGTGGAGGCCAAGTGCAAGATTCAGGTAAAGCAGACCCGCTCCACTGTCACATGACAAAACGAATATTGGGACATACAGTACACAAGCACATTTTAGAGGAATGCGACGTCCAAGCTATACAGAGAGCAAATGTTTCTTTAACTTTCCTGGGGAAGCATTCATTGCCTGATAATAATTTCAACTATCTGCCCAAATTTATTACAATATAAAGACATCAGCTGCAGAGGAATATTCATTGAGGTTAGCAACAAAGCAAAACTTTGGCTCTGAGACCCCGTCGATGTGAAGCATCCTCATTAAATGTGGGCCCATGTGAGATTGGGAAATAGGACAGGATTCCCGAGAGTCAAGACGTGGGTGGTGAAAGAACGGCATCCAAGGACTGACTGGTTTGAAGCTGGCTTAATACTTTTGTGGCTAAATTTAAATATTGGGGAAGTATGTTAAAACGGTGCTTTCACTGCTTTGAAATGTCTGATATTTCGTAAGTAGTATTTCTCAAAGTGAGTATCAAAATAAATGTCACTGCTTCAACTGCACACCATCTAGTTTCTATCATGACACACTAAAGAAAAACAAACAAAAGTTTATTAGGACTTCGTTTAAAGGTATTCTTCAGTCAGTCTAAATGATGACACTATTGAAAGATTCTCAAAACGTACATCCAAGATTGATCATTTGTTCACACTTGAAACATATATCTTTTTTTATTTGAAACCAAACAGGATTTTGAGACTGATATCGAAACTAATTCAAGGAGAGAAATTGACAAATTACCGGTAGTATGATCAACATTTGTGGGGCGGCAGTAACTCAGTCTGTAGGGAACCAGACACCAAAATGTGGAAGTTTGGTCTGGTAGCTGGAGAGGTGTCAGATCACTTCCTGAGTACTGCACAGGTGCCCTTGAGCATGGCACCAAACCCCCAACAGCTCTGGTGTGCCCCCTGTTTAGAAGTGTGTGGCAGCTACACTCTGACATCTCCCTCGGGGATTCAAAAAGTATGTAAAAAAAAAAATGAGATGGTGGGAAAATAGACCTTCTCTTTAGGGGGATTGTACACCCACATTATACTAATATCAATATCCAAATGTTATAAGAAGGCTGTTTTCTTCAAACAATTTAAAAAAAGGAATGTTTATTATCATGATTTGTTAAACAATTCTTGAGCCTGCAACCACAAACTCCGCTGTGATTCTTTGGCACATGTGCTTAAGCGTAACAGATGAATGTAAAGTCTGCATGAAACCATTTCCGAATCAAGCCAAAAGTTGTTTTACCACATTTTCTATATCTGCGCATGTTGGAAAAACATTTACACAGATACCACTAATATCAGACCCGATAACAAAAGACACATCTGTCAGGCTCTGCCCTACAACACAAATCCCTGAAGTACGTAGTATCTAAAATAAATATTCTTGTAGTTTATATTACCTGTGTTGTAAATTAGCCTATTCCACAGCATGGTCCCAAAAATATTAGTGGAAATGGATATGCTGCTTTGTTAAAAATTAAAGTTCTATTTCCTTTTGTCTCCTCATACAGGACCTGGAGCACCAGAGAGGAATCCTTTCCAACGACCTCCAGGAAGCGAAGAACAACTGGATCAGCAAGGCCTTCACCTCCCTGCGGACGTCAAGTGGAGGAGGACTTTCCACTATGAGCATACAACAACAACAACAACAACAACAACAACAACAACAACAAAGAGATGGATCCACCACGGCAGGCTGGAACCTCAACAGTAGCTCCCTCTCTGGATGGAGCGCCAAGAAGCTGTCGTGGCCTCACAGAGACACTCAAGAGAAGGTCTGATGGGTCCGACTGAGACAGTGCAGATCCCATGTAACTGGACACAATAGACGGTTATGGATTGTGAATGTAATATATTGCAGCTGCTATTTTTTAGTTGTTTTTTTTGCACACTAGAGGGCAATCTAGAGCATTCAAAAGAGGAGAGGAGAGGAGAGTACCTGAGAGCACAGACAGGTGCAGGCAGACATGTCCTCTCATGTCCGCTCACCACTTTGCAGCTGGTTAAGTTTTTTAATGCTTGTAACCGACTGTATGTGCCATGAAGGTTATTTGTACATGAAAATGTATTAAAGAAACTATTACATCAGCATTGTGTTTTTTTTTTTGTGACATACTGAAACTTGACTCATTAGAGACATAACCGCCGGAGAGGTTCTTTTTTTTCTGCGATACGGTCCTTTGGTTGTTCCTCTTTCACTACAACCACCACAGCTGCTTTTAAAGAGCAGATCAGCTGCTTCTTCAACACTCATGAAGAAAGACAGACAGAGAGAGGAGTCGTCAGCTGAGTGTAACAAGGCTCGCTATCTCTGAACTTTGACATGCAATAAGGAGCGCACGGCTACAGAGAAAAAACAGAACAAAAGAATAGAAGACATCTTGCACGAGTGCCTGCAGTATTTAAAAAGACAAACTTAACTGAAGTATCAGTTTCTCCTGCTTGAATCACTGATTTCTGCAATGGTCAGGGGTGTGTGCGCCACTGTGACTCTCCTCTTGTGTGTTCTCGGAGGCCAAGCAGTGGACCTGCTCAGAGTGACTACAACATCAGGGAGTAAGTACCAATCTGAGTGAAAATATGTTTACAGTTTATTTATCTTTTTATACTGAAATTGTACCAAAAACTGAAAAAAACAACTATTCTTTAAAATAAATTATTGTTAATTCTACGTTTTCATAAAAGCTTTGCACTCGATTTTGAGTTTGACTAATGATGATTTGATTGAAGTGTCAGCCAGAGATGGTCTCTGCGTTTTCCAATTTTTTTATATTTTACCTAAGCATACTAGGTATGGTCAGGCATACTGGGCATGCTGCCTGAGATGTAGTGTAATTTATCGGCTATCTATAAACCAGTTGGCGACACAGTTGTACATTTAATGTGAGAAGAAAACAACAACAAAAAAAGGAAAATAAAGTACACATATATGTGTTCAATACACTTTGCTCATGTTGCACAGGATGTAACAAAGTGTCATTTCTCCCTTCAGACCCTCCCTCCATTCCCCAAGTGCACTGCTGGTGTGCCAGTTATCCAAATGTCACTCTCTGTTCCTGGCCTGAACCCTCTCAATCCCCACCGATACGCTACGTCGCCACCTACAGGTAAAATTTAGGGCGGAAACCAGTGTCCCTCTCTTAATGTGACTGCAGTATTGCTGATTTCTTTTATTTAAAGAAGAAAGTGTCATTGTGAGCTCATTCATGAATAAGTGTGTGTGTAAATGTGTTCACCAGTGAGAGACACAGACGCACATCGACCAATCAGTGCCATCTCATCCAACCTGGCTCTTCATTCTCTGCTCTGACATCGGCTTCATCGTCTCAACCGGTGAGATTTATATCCCTTTGTCACAGACGGATGGACTGTTCTCCAAAACTCACACAAAGCAAAAACCAAACAAACCTCAGTAATGACTGTAGTGGAATGTATTTTGATAATTTGTCTTTTACTGTATAAATGAAACTTATTGAACTTAATCAGGATCAGAGAGTTATTTTTTGGAAAACCCCAATCTCACATGCCGTGTCTTCGCTGTAACAGATGACTTAACAGTTTCATGTTTGTCTCATGAGTCTGAGGCTCATGATTATCGGAAAAAGAAACACAATTGTGTCTGGGTTCAAGCGTTCATATTTGCATTAACTACAGGGATTCCTCTTAAGCTTATTTCGCTTTTATTGGAAATCATTACTATTATAGGTTCTTTTTTTGTCAGGTCAAATTAAACTGCGATGAATATTGCTTAAACGGCATTTTAAAATCTACCATCGACAAACACCATCAAGCATCCCATATTATTCTGTATTTTTTGTTTCTAGTTCTGGCACTGCTACCTACCAAACCTGAAGCTTCTCACTGACTACATCATCAATGTCACAGCGGTTTATTCAGACGCCAGCAGCTCCCATCTGGCAAGTTTCATGTTGGAGGATATAGGTGAGAGATTATAAATCACACAGTCTAAAAATAAAGAGAATGTGACTGTGACAATTTATGATTGAGGAGAGAGGATTTTGTATATGGATTAAAAATGTCTTTCCTTTTCCTTGCTCTGCATAGTGAAACCAGATCCTCCTGTACAAGTCCGGGTTTCCCCTCATAATAACAGAAACCTGCTCGTGGAGTGGTCTCCTCCCCCTACTTGGACCAACATGGACATCTTCCCCCTCAAATACCAGATCCTGTACAAGTGGGAAAACAGGGGCACCCCAAAGTCTGTCAATGTAAGAGTTGTTTTTTGTTAGAACACGCTCTCACACACACACACACACACACACACACACACACAAAACTTGAAAGGTACCGAAACAACAGCGAGGTACACAGATACCACATGTGGAAGTTCAGAAATACTGAAACACTTTTGACGACCACAAAAATGTTTCTGAATGCCCCTATTTTTCTAAAAAATCTTCTCTATCTAACTATACTCTGCAGTAAATATGTATGTTTTACTTCTTTTGGATTGATTTATTGACATTTTTGTTAGAAACACATTTAGAAAGCGGTTTGTCTCTTCATATAAATAATATAGCCTACTACACTCAAGTCTTAAAGGATTCATTCAGCATTCAACATTTACTGGCTTTAAATGAATGAGCTTTAGGTGCTTCTGGAGATATGATTCACATCTGAACAGACTCAAGCTGTTACTGTTGTCAGTCTATTTTGCTAAGGTAACCACTTGTTGTTTTGCCAAGCTAACCACTTGTTGGGATTGATTCCAACCCCATGGCCAGAAAGTGAACAATATTATTTCTCAAAAAGTCAACCTATTCATTTTTTATTCGATCATCCAAATTCATTTCAAAAGTGTGTTTTGAAAACCCAGTTGTTGAGTATTGTTCATTTTTTCCACCTCCAGCTGGGTCCATTTGAGAGCACCAAGGCTGAGCTGAAGGGGCTGACACCAGGAAGGCCTTACTTTTTCCAGGTGTGTGCGAAGGAGCTGCTGGATCTCGGGGAGTGTAGCGACTGGAGCTCACCTGTAAACATCACCATATCATGAGGGAATCTGTAGAGCCTCCTTCACACTCCTCATTTTAAACTTGAAAGCTCAAGATCGGCAGACAGGTTGTACATGTCTTGTTTGAACTACATGAGCAGTGCAAGCTAAAGCTGTTGATATATTGTGTTATTTATAAAGAGGACACATATTTAATTATATTAGTATTTATTGTAATTCTGTCTTTTTGTGTTGAATTGTTTGTCTATGGAGCAGCTGATAATGTTAACTTATTGTGACAAAATAAGTGCTTCCCATTTGTGTGAAAAATTGAATAAAAAATAAAGCATGAGTATCGAACTAGTTTGTCCTTTCAGTCCACTACATGCACCACGAGTGGTGTGACAAACTCAGAGTGTCTGATGCCCATAGTGCAGGATGGAGGTTTGGGGAGGTGCACATAAGATTTTTCTGGGCTGTAGGTGCCGGGCCCGGGGATATCAGACGCATTATTAGGCCTTTTTGTGCGGCTCTGCATGGAGAAGGAGGGCTGACGCTGGCGGTAGACATCTGGATGAATGCTGTTGTATTTCGCTGGGCCAGGGCTCATAGAGAGGTCCTCTGATGGAGCTCCGATCTTCCTGCGGCCTGAGAAGCTAAAGCTGGCGCTGGATGGTTTATGGGGGACCTGACAGCCCAGCAGGTTAGGAAGGCTGTATCTGGAGGAAAGAGAACAATACATGCATGTAATGAAGGTTCATGGACGTTTCATTTCAGATTTTCACTCTACGGCAAAGCTAGCGCTAATGGTAATTATCAGCCACGTAGACTGTATTCAAGAAAAAGTTTTAGCCACTGTGGGTTCAACAATTTGGTTGTAGTAAACCATTTTTAAAGGGGACATATGTGACCAGGTTTGGATGAGTGCAGTGGTATCAAAAATTCAAATTCAGTGACTGGATTAGCTGAGGTGACTCCTAGCGCATAGCTAGCACCAACCACCTGTCACTCAAAGCAGCTACACCCCTAATTATGAATAACTTAAAACCATAACAGTCATTGTCTAAACAGCTGGAAAAATCATATATGGCGCTGAATTGGACCGTAAAAATGTTTGATTCCACTATTAAGTTAGTCATTAGAGGAACTTCAGTTTTTGACATCCTGACATTACCTACAGGATCAATATGTAACTCTGACATCTAGTGTTTAAAATGGGTACTGCAGTCCAAATTTAAGACACTTGAAAGAGATGTTTCCCCCCACCCCCTCCTCCCTAGATTTGATGTACACACAGGTAGCAAAAGACTGGCTGCTGCGTTGTTGTCAGACATAGCAACATAGCAAGTTTCCTTAACACCTGATGACATACTAAGGTCATCTTATTATTTAATTCAATAGATAGCTTGCATATTGGTCCTTTAAGCTGTCATAACTAGTCCTTTGATTTTTGCTGTCTTCACCTGTTTGGTGCTGGCACAGCGTCCACAGAGCGATATCTGGTGCGGCTGCCGATGGTGTAGGATGGTGGTCTGTGGTGAGCATTGACGGGGGGAGCTTTCTCTGGGCTGTAGGCCCCCGGCCCAGGAGTCTGGAACACCTCACCTGCCAACAGAAATTGATCTGAGATGTAGTTTTCTTTATTATCTTTACTTGAGGTTTTATTCAATCTCTGCTTACTAACTAATGTATAAGATGATAACAAAGTATCTGACAAAGAAGGTTTGTCAGAATAAATTAACCTTTTTAAAAAAATGTCCTCACCTTTTGTTCTGGTGCTCCTTCCTCTGCCCAGAATGGAGTATGAAGGTGTTTCCATCTTCCCAAAACGGGTAACCTTGGCATCAATGTGGTACCTAGGTCCTGGGCTGGAGTCCACTGAAACCACTAGAGAAAAACACAACACTGAAATAATTAACCAAGACACCTTACAATCTCATACATTTAAAGATGTTCCCATACCCGTACCCATATTGAAAATTCCAAGGCATACTGCCTAGGATGTAGTGTAAGTTATCTGCTATCTATATAACAGTTGGCCACAGTTATAAAATATTTCATTATGCCAACAGCATAATGTCAACAGTAACTTCAACTAATGACTGAGACAAATGACCACCACTTGCTACTTCTGCTTAAATGTGTGGACATTTCTTTTCATGTAATATGACAGACATTTTCAGTGAAATATTTTCAACAGGATTTTTCAGAAACATGATAATTGGATACTGTTCGATTCAGAGGGAATTTGAGGAACCTTTACACAGGAATTTTCAGGAACTTTTAGGAGTTAACATGAAAATATTCACTGAGAATCTTTGGTAACTTTAGGAATTCTTTCCTCCAACTTTTAATCTATTTTTAGGCAACTGCCAGAAATTTTTAATGGAAAATTATTGGGAAGATTCGTTCATTTACACTGGGAATTATCAGAAACTTGAAGGAATTTTACCAGGAATTTACCTGGAATTTCTTCTGAGAATTTCAAAGGAAATCTTGAGAAACTTGCCAGAATTTAAAAAGAAAATAAATAATCAGAAGACACCTTTTGGATTTTCCAGGGACATTTTTGAGAAACGTGCACGTCTGATCATCCTCCCAAGATAGGTGTCACCTTGGCATCAATGTGGTTTTGTGAAATTTGGGGCAGAAGATACTTTGCACATGAGAGTAAAAATAACTTTCTGTTTCGGGGCTAGACATTGAAGTTTGGCAAGCCAGATCATGCCTTTCTATTGAAACACACACTTTGCAGTCGGGCATTATAAAGGTCTTAAGGCTATTCTGAAGAAATATTTGATTTAGATTTGCTGCTCTGACTAAGTGTTATACATGACATTTCCTGTTGCCACTAGTTGGTGGTATGTGTATGACTAAATATCGTCACATTTGTCTACATTAACAGACACACAACAGTGTGACATAACAGTGTGACATAACACTGGAGCATGTACAGAGGAGTTGCAAACCACTTCTTGTTTAGTGGTGACATGCACATTTCAGGGCTTGGAAAGACTGGTACGTAAAATAAAAATGTCTGTCATAAAAAGTAAGAAAACACTTAAACAACATTATTGATCCATTAAACGACGATCCAACACAACACAGATTGGCATCTAAATACATTACAACTCACTGGCGCTGCTCAGTCGACTGTGAAAGGAGTAAGCTGGGCTGCTGGGCTTGGTGAAGTCATGGTTGATGTATCCGACTGTAGGGGGCAGAGCGTAGCGTCCGGGGCCCGGGCCTGACAACAAGAGGAGGAGGAGAGGAGAAGGAAGACTGTGATAGACATGATGCAACAGGGTCAGCTTTGAGTAGCTGTATATAGCTCCACCACCCCCCTGCTCTATGGCTCGGAGTGGGTTGGGTGGGGGGGGTATTGTCTCTGATGATTTCCATATGGAGCTCTTTGACTAATTTTCTATGGTTATGCATTTTAACGTTCTTCCTCTGCTTGTTTGGGAATGGATTCTAAACAAAGTGGAAATCTCAAACAAGTGTGGAGCAATGGCTGTATAATGCTGTGAAAGAAGTCATAGGAAAAAAACAGTTAAGCTTTAACTCAGTCCATGTGGATACACACACACACACACACACACACACACACACACACACACACACACACACACACACACACACACACACACACACACACACACACACACACACACACACACACACAAACACACAGACATCCCAAACTGACCTCTTTCTCTTGCGGATATTATCGGCCGTTTCTTCACCACCTCCTGCATTCTCTGCCAGCCTCGCCTGCCTTCCTCTTCGAAAACCTCGGTGACTTGTGTTGTGACTCTCTCCAGGTGATCCTCGGCCTCCTTGGCTAAATAATACATGACCAGGGAGGTGAAGAAACCTTATCTTGACCGAGGCCCCGGATGCGCCCTGACCCTGTTCTCCACCCTCTTTTCCCTTAGGTCCCCGGGGGGACAAAAGGTCGACTCTGTCTGGGCTAACAAGGAGGATCTCCACTCATTGTTCCTCTGTGATGTCTTGTCATTTGATGGCTGTTTAAAGATAATTGAACGTTAAAGATTAAGCTCTGTTTAAGTCCCAGAGCAAGGCAACTATAATCACATAATGTGATTCATTAGTCACCCTATTCCGAGGCATTGTGTTACTACAACTGAACTACAGTATGCATGCTGTAACTAATAGCATCCCCGTACAAAAGCCATTAAATATGAAAGGACTTACACGGCTCTTCTGTTGAACGTGGTCACTGGACAAGCTCAGGGTAGCTGTAATGAAACCGTGGACTGCTGAGAATTAAAATTTGGCCTGCTTTTTGTTAGTCAGGGAAAACATACTTCCAAGATCAGTGCAAGGTCTCTAAAAGATGCCTGCCAATGTAGCTTTTGCAAATTTAGTAAGATAACAATAACAACATGCCAAGTGTTGCCTTCCAACAGCAAAACAAACCATCAAAGACAATGAGTGTTAAAAACGGCAAAGAACATTTCTGCAGTTTTTCTTCTGTTTGCTGGTAAATCAGTTGTGGAAGATAACTTCTGGGGGTTCATGGACTCTTGAGTTTACTTAAATTGAAATAGTTATGTGAGTAGTTATGAGTTGTTCCATCTCCATATAGCCACATGTTCGATGTATCCATGGGCAAGACACTTAACCACAAATTGCTCCGGCAGCTTTGTTGGCGGAGTATGAATGTGTATGAATGGGATTAGTTACTTCTGATGGTCACTTTACAAAGCAGCCTCTGCCAGCAGTGTGTGAATGGGATGGTGTGTCTATCTAACTGTTTTGAGGCCAGTTCTAAGGTTTTTTCATCACTGAACTTAGAGGTCACTAAAACCATAACAGCAGAGCCATGATCATGTTTAAATCCTGAACTGGTTAAATATTAAGCACCAGTGTCTCAGAGTGGTCACACACTCAGAGATAAGACTTTTAAGACTAAAGGGAGGGAATACAACCACTGTATTGATTTGCACTGATACATTTGCAAAACTATGAAGCGATACATTTGAGTTGAGTACAGATATGAAGCTCTTTGTGTGACTGAGAAAGTTCATGGAGCCAAAAACTACCTAAATTAAAGGTCACATATTAAACTCCTTTTCAACAACTTTAAATAAGTCTCAGAGCGCCCCAAAAACTGTGTGAAGTGTCTTGTTAAATATCCAATCTGATCCTGTATTTAAGCATGCCTATAAACCCCTCTATTTCTGCCCTGCTCAGGACAGACTGTTTCCGTGTCTGTAGCTTTAAATGCAGGTGCTGTGTTTGACCACGCCCCCTTTTTGAAGGTCTTGGGTGGCTTGGACCTTCCTTTATCATGCCCTATTGTTTACGGCGAGAAGGCAGACTCAGAGGGCAGAACAAACAGCTATAGCTGTGGGAGTGTCGCCGACCTGGGGGAGAGGTTACTGCCCTTTGTGATGTCATGAAGGGAAAACCTAAAAACGGCCTGTTTGCACACATTTTCTGAAAAATGGAGAAGGCAAAAGACGGGGAGGATGGACTTTTCTCATGATTAGTGACAGGCTAGGAACACATACGCATTACTGTTACAACAACAATGGGGAATGGTGTATTTTGCTTTATATTTGACCTTTAAGATGAAGTTAACGCTCCATGAGTGCTGCATTTGAGCTGTTCTTAGTCTGCATACATTTGCTGCCAATTACATTTTTCACACCAAAAATGTAAGTTACACTTGCCTGTTTGAGACATGTAGCTTTATTCTTAAACACAATTGTCCCTTTAACTAAATTAATATGGGGTGTGCAAGATCCAATTTGATTCCCCTTGGCTTACTTAAAAGTTTGCTCTAGTTGACCTTAGCAGTCCAAGCCTGTGTCATTAATGTCATTTTTTACATTGGTTGATGGATTGTGTTTTTGTAACCAATAACACAACAGGTGTAGGTCAAGTAGGAAGATGTTTTAGGTGTAGCAGGCCAAGAAACGCACTGTCCACATATGAGGAAAAAGAGGTCTGTTTATCATGTATCGGACTTTCACACAACTCATTCCCAAACTCTGTTTGTTTGTCAGCCTTTTTTTTTTCTTTACAACGTTAAAGATCATTAACAACTTCAGTCATTAATATGTCTTTACTAACTAAACATAACTTAGGAAATAAAACATAACTTTATACAGTTTTAAATATGCTGGTACAATTCAGTACAAAAATAAAGACAGTGAAACGTCTACACACACACACACACACACACACACACACACACACACACTCCAACGTGTCAGTCACATACATACTTTCACTCAGAAACACATGAACACTGGCTGAACCAGTTTGGCACATTTCCCACTCTTATTACAAAGCATGAATTAAAAATACTGGGCGATAGTTGGTCTTTTTTTTCTCTTAACATAGAACAACAGTGAAAGCTTTGGGTTTGGAATGTCCTCGGATGCTAAACAGCCACTAGATGGTGCTTTGGATCCATGGGGGGGAAATCAAATAAAACATCCCTGAATACTCTCAGAGGCTTGGACAATGCGTCCAAGTGTGTTCTCATCTCTTTTTTTGCGCAGGTTTAGAGCAAATATGTGTAAAAAAAGGAAAAAAAAGTCTTTAAGCATGCAATGGCATCCTTTGAGAAATCTGAGTGGTCTTTGTTGTCTCTTTTTCTTTTTCTAAAAAATTATACCAGGATTATCTGTGGTGAGTCCATCATTCTCTGCTGCACCTTTCTACGCCAAACACAGTTCTCATGTCGACAGGAAAAGACGCATTAGAAGAAGAACAATCCCACAGTTCCTCCTTGGATGTCCTCTCGTCTCCACAGCTGGTATTTGCACAAAATGTCCAGAGCGAAATGTCTTATAATTCCAGGATAAGAAAACAATCTCTCTTCTTATACACACACAGATAAAAATACACACACACTCCTTTTCTTGTCTTCTTTTCTGTTAAGTCAGCCTGTGCTAGGATTTATCCCCTGGAAGAACCTATGTAAAAAAAATCAAAAACAAATCTGTTACAAATCAGCATTCACAGGACAGATTTTTTTCGTGTATACTTTGTGCAGCCTGACGTCTGCGAGTCCCTGCTTCGCGATGCTTACCTACCTGGTTGCGAGCTTTATGCGACTTCTGCATCAGCACTCTCCACTGGTCGTACAACTTCATGGACATGCTGCTGCAGCCGTAGGCGTGTTTCCGCACCCAGCCGAAGAACTGCTTCAGCTCCCTGCGCAGGGTGGAGTTTGAGTCCCCGCTCGACTTCGAGTCACACGAGCCCGACATCAACCGCTCTGCAGGAAAGAAAGAAAGAGAAACAGACGGAAAGAGAGAGAATTAGGCTGGAGTCAGGCAGGCCTTTTGTGCTGTTCAGCAACAAAAAAAAAACAAGCTCATGTCAGCAGAAAAAAAACAGACGAAAAGAAGTGAGATGAGTTTTGAAAACTACACTCTTGGAAATGGAATATGTTCTATGTCTATGCAGTATTAGATACACTTGGAGGTATGAAATGTTCAGGCAGTACTACCCCCTGACCTCCATTGGATCTGTCTAGGACATATCCAATAATTGCTGGCGTTCATAGTATCTTCTGGGAAACCATTCAAGGAAAATTCATTGTTTTCTACCAAAGTTTTTTTTATCCTAGTCGTGTCCATCATTCCTACTAGTTGTGATAGTAGTGATAACTCACTGACAGCCCCCCCCCTCCCCGCATTAAACCCCTATCCCATTTCTGAACAAAATCTCATCAATCGAGGGAGAAGAAATAGCGCGATACAAAGATTCTTGTGTAATTGACCATATTCACATGGTGGCCATTTTCACTGGCAGCACGCTCCATTGCAAAAAAATGTACAACGTTGTAGGCTACTTCTTTGTTCCCGGTTTTAGGTTTTACAATTTAAGGATATCTGACAACTGAAATCATTTCACGTCTTCTTTATTTCTGCATGAGCGTGACTTGGCATGGGCAAAAGCCAGAAAAAACTTACCAGAACTCTGACTGGCTAGTCTTCAGGCGATTGTGCAATGGTTGCGAATTTTAAGTCAGAAAAGATAAAGCCGATTTACCTACCGTCACAGACCTCAGCAAATCTAAATAATCCATCAACATTTTGGATGACTGCCAATTCCTTATGAGAAAAAAATAAAGGCTGAGAACCTCTTTCTAATTGTCATGGACTCTCTGAGAACAAAAAGCTTGTTTGTTTCGAATTAAAGTTTCATAGCTTCTGTTTTGTTTTTGACTCTCTTAATCCCACTCATTTGAATTCCACTTGTGATGCGTCTGATGTTCAGGCTCTGTCAAATCAGTATTTTACTTAATAGGAGTTAAAGTAAAATACTGATTTGGCAGAGCCTGAACGAGTACACAAAGCCTTCAGGCCCTTGGATGCAACAAAAGAAGGAGGCCCTGATAAATGGAACGATTACTTTTTTTTAAAGTTAGCTGCAGATTTGATTGTTCCACCTTCGACATATATTCTTAATCCTTCTCTGGTCACTAATGTCATTACACAAATCTGAAATCTGCCTTTTGTTGTTCCCCTCTTTATGAATGGGGGGGACCCTACTATTTTAAATAACTACAAGGCCCATCTCAAACCTGTCCTGGCCAAGGATCTGGAAAACACAGTGATTAGCTAAATTAGTTGTTTTTTTTAACATTAAACTTTCAATCTGGTTTTAGAAAATGACGCAGAAAAACATCAGCAGCTCTTAAAGTTTTTAATGGTTTTATAGACTGTATAGATAATAAGCAACATTGTGCAATCATCTTTATAGACCTGTCACTTTTGATTATGTAAACCATACAGTACTCAACCACAGACTGAATAAAGCAGGACGGTTCGATCAAACAGTTTTAAAAAGTACCTTCAAACAGGCAGAGGGCTGCACCTTTAGATGCAACTTAAACATCCAAGAGTCACTGTTTTTTTACCCATCATGTTTGGTTATGTAATAATTAGATAAGTGTGTATGTCGTCTAACAGCATCCACCATTTGAAAACTGCAAATATAAATCAGAAATTTCTAAAAGAAAAGTAAGTAGAAAAGTAGGTTTTAAAAAAAAAAACTGTGTCTCATTCTCCTTCAAATCTGCTGCTTTAATGTGGTGAACCAAAATCTGCGACGACTTTTAGAGGCAAATTTGCTCCTTTAAAACTGACCAAAATGATCCAAAAAGTATGAACAACCTTTGTGAGGAGATTAAAGGTGTGTGTAAGTGTGTGTTCTCACCGCTGTGTGGCGTGGAAGCAGCAGTAGGGTGGCTCCACTGGCTCCAGATCCCGGCTTTACGAGAGCCGTAGATTCCCACAGGGTTACAGCGAACCTGAAGAAAACACACAAAAAAAGTCGTCAACACCGACTAAATCACATTGTTTTTTTAAACATGAACTAAAACACACATTCGCTGTAACGTACCTGGACGAAATATACAGTTCCAGGTCTCAGTCCAGCCAGTCTACAAGATGTTTGATTCCCCACGTCATCCATCACCTAGGCGGAAAAAAAAGAGACACAAACATGGAGGATTTGAGCGCTGGAGGTCTGACCGCAGTATTAAATACCAATGGGAAAAAACTTAAACACAGGGCAGGATCAACAGGACCGCAAACCATGTACAGACCTAAACATCGCATGCACACCACATTGTTTAGTGGCTCCTGATCAGCGTGTTTATAAAAATATTTTCATGAAATGGTGCCTGCTGGGCAAAAATCTGCTCTTTATTACTTATTACAAAGCTGGATACACGGGAGAAATGAACACAGGAGCGTGCGCAGGTACTCAAACACACAGACAGGCGGCAGAAATAAAGAGAGGAAAATAGAGGAAGAAACTGCAGCTAATAATGTTGTCTTAATAGGCTCCACTTTCTCCCTGGCATTCGGTCTGTAAACAGTTGTTAAGAAGGACTAAAACAGAAAACAGAACATGGAAATTACAGGCATCAGAGCGCTAATGATGTGACACGAGGAAGCCAAATCTCTGAGTGTCTTTGCAGCCATGTTGAAGACATTAACAGCAGAGATGTATCCCTCCATTCCTCAGCATGACCTCATGATTAGGGCCGCTTCAGAGGGAAACAGCATTTTTGTTTTCACCCCCAAGCTCTTAAAGCCACTCGGATTTAAGTCTCATCCGTCCACCACTCGCTCCACTCCCCGTCTTTCTTTCTTTTCCACTTTGCGAGCGAAGACTTGCTTATATTATATCGGTGTAATTCCCCCTTAATTACTGGAGAATCTTCACCCGTACCCAGAGGACTCGAATGAGTTCTGGGAAGCGCCATCTGCACAGCTAAAGGTCCCACACTGTATTTTTCATTCATTAAAAGTTAGAGCCCAAGTATACACAGTGGCTCTGGCCTGTGTTTTTCTCCTGATCAAAACCGTACTTGTAGATTCATGACTGATGAAAGTTTTTCAAACAGCCCAGCTATTAACTCATCTGGCAGAGGAGGCCTCAATCAGAGTAGATTAGAGGAGATCACAGCATTAGGATGAGAAACAGCTGGGACATCGCTTTTATCGGCGCGTTGCGAGAGACAAAAGAGAAGAGATTTATGTCCTCACAACTATGTGTGTCCTTGTCCTTTACCTTCCAATCTTGGCTGTCCTCCAGTCTGTAGCGGATCTGGTATTTGGCCTGAAACAGGAAATCTTTGAGAGCAGGCGGGGCCTCCCAGCGAACACTCAGCTGGTCCTCCAGCAGCCCGACACGGCTGACTGTCACACCCGATGGAGGGTCTGTGGTCACTGGAGGGAGAGGAGATGGAAAGGGAAGAATTTAAAAGATGAAAAATAAAAAATACCACCAATTTAAAATATTTCTCCCTTGCCAAATATGAATATTAACTAGTTCTTGGTCATTAGTGATACGAAACCAAATGTCTTTTGGTTTGAGACATTTGTACATCTTCCTGGTCTCTTGAAAAAACGTGAAAAATGTTTTAATGAGGATAAGGATTTTCAAAATAAAGATTTAATGCAGCCTAATCCCGTTAAATCCACCTTCAACAAGTCAGTCCCAGGATGGATCCAAACAGGTCCATAATAGTCTCTGACGTTACAATAATACTAACTGAATGCTGAATGCTGACACAATTATTCTGATGATTATTTTTGTGAGTTGTCCATAAAGTCCTTAATAGTGTGTTCTATAAGTTCTATTTCCATTTTTTGCATATTGTTTGAGACTTAGACTTTCCACTTGTAACACGCTAGAAAATTATAAATACTTATTCTAACTTCTAAACACTCCACTATGCTCCCGAGCTACTCAATAACTCTGCCGCTCTGTTTTTTTTTTTTCTTTTTCTAAACTCAAAGCCTTTTCATTAAAAACAGCTTCTGTCTGCTGCTGAGAGAAGGAGCAATAAAATGGGTCTGAAAACCAAAACAATGAGCTGAAAGATACTAAAACGCTCTGTAAAGCTGAGGGTAACTGTAGAGCACATATTTAACAGGTCATTAATCAGTTGTTTATCATAAGGATACATAAATGTCTTTGACATGAGTGAGTACGTTTACATGGACTTGAGTATCCAGGGTTTGGTCAGGTTTTTTAAGGATCCTGTTTTTTGTGTCGTGCATGGAGCTGGAGAACTTCGAAAAAAATACTGTGGCATGTATACGCCTTACCCCGGTTTCTGACAGCTGCCGACTAACTGCGCAGGCCTCAGCCAAGTTACGTGTCAGAAAAACAAACACGGTGGCGGCAACGAGAGCGTCTTATTCTAGAGTGACGAGTTTTGTAGTTCGCTAATAAATGTGTGCATGTAAATGCCTTAATCCTGAAACTCAGGGTAATAAC